GTCCTAGTATTGAAACTTGAGTGTTCAGCTAGTGTATGAAAAAGAGTTATTTCCGCAGCCCTAATACGGAGTACAGGTCCATGCATTTTTAAAGGCCCCTGGCAAACATTACACTAAAGACATGATTAACCTGTTAATTGCATATTAATGAGTAATCTGACTGCAGTTTAGGCAATTAATGACATGACAAAACAGAAAACCAGCCACAAAATTATTCCACAAAATGTGAAATATTTTTGTGGCTGGTTTCTGTTGTACCTCAGATTAAATATATGGCAGGATCTTAGCCATACATCCTGATGCTGGCTGCATGACAGGGCTTGGTTGACAGCTCCCCTGTCTGGACAGGCTGACAGTTGTATGGTGCAGTCCTGCACAGAGCTGCATGTGGCTGTTTGCAGGGTGCTGAGTCTGGGGGAACTCATCAGCTAGGCAAGGGTGCTGGGTTGTGGGGATCCCCCAGGGCTCCCTGCGACTTGTCAGGTTGACTGCCATTCCCCACAGCTCTTGACAGATCCCCAGTCCTTGTATCCCCACGTGCCAGGATATTTCAAAAACACATGTGCAGTCTAACTGCACACATGGTTTTATGATGTCCCTGGAGCATGGGGACCCTGAGTTTGGCAAACCTTTCCCTGATTGTGGGGCCCCGGCATGCCTGGATCTTAATAAACTGTGTACACACGAGGTTTTCTGATATCCTGGTTGATAGGGCTCTGGGACCAGCCTTGGGGCTGGGACCACAGCTAGTTGATTGTTGGTCCTGGACTCAGTTCTATACCAGTTCATGCCTGGCTACAGCCACGTGGCTTTCTGGTTGCCAGTTCAGAGGAAACCTGAGATCGTGAACCAGGGCTCCCCTTGCACTAGCAAGTAGTAATGGTACGATTGGGATCTGATATCGGATCCCAAAATCGCCTGTCCTGCCATGCACGTGTGGCATAATAGGAGGCACAGTTGTTGGTATCAGGGATTCCATCATACCAATAAATGAACATGTGTCAAGGGTCTAAATTTCTTAGGTAATTTAGGCAATAATTTCCTTAAAGCATAGTTTTTAAGATTTTCCAATTTCTTGCCAGCCTAGAAGTGAAAGACCAAGATCAAGAATTGTATTTAAATCTGTAGCATAAACATATGAAGAACTGACTCCTGGTTGCAGCATTCATTGCCGTTGATAGGAGTGGAGGGCACTTAGCAGTATTCAAGAGGTGCTCTACATTTTACAGGATTGTGCAGCTGGTGTGCTAGGGCACTTGGCCAACATATTTTCTTATTTATGGGAAGTGAACCTAGCTGCATTACAGAATGCACATTTTGATATTTACGGTATCTTTAATCTGTAGGCTTGGGTTTTTTTTGTACAGGCAACCCCTGCTTAGTGGTCTTTATTGGTTCCTGCAAAACTGAAAGTATTTGATGACCCAAGGCGGTGACCGCAATTGTTTTTAATGACCCAAGATGGTGACTGTGAGCGTTATAACGAAACTCACTGAGCGTTAAGTGAAATCGGGTATCAAATTCAAATGAGCATTATAGCGAAATAACTCTAAGTGAAAGAGTGTTAAACCGGGGTTGCCTATACTGAATATAGTGATTTTCAGTTTTATATTTATACGTAGTTAAAATCAATTGAAGTAAAGATGGGTAGAATTGCCTTGTGGAACCCTTCTATTTTCAGCTAAACAGGAACATGTAGATTTCCCAATTGCAGTACATCCTTCAGAATTTCCTGAGTACAAAGAAAAAAATAAATATTTATTAATATGCATTATTGTAAATATGACTAATTTTTTTTCTTGATGTATTAGGTGGAATCTCAGTGAACAACATCAAAACATTTGTGGCCATGACTACTGTATCTTTTAACTGGAGTATACTAGCTAATGACTTTTCAGTCTCAATTTCACTGAATAACGTGTCACGGATTATGCAACAAAATGATGTCTTCTCTGAATGGGATAATTTAACATCTGCAACCTTGTATAGTTTTAAGTTTGAATTTAAACAGCTGCTGCTCGAGTTTATAAGTGTGTCTCAAACACTGGATATTCAAGTTGAAACAGGTATATGCACTAGTTTACTGTCATCACAGTAATTAACAAGGTGACACAATGCTATGCAGAAGAGCTTACAGAAAATTGTAAATAATCTATTGACACAGATTTTTAAATGAATACTGTTCACTGGTGCTTGTATATCTTTATGCCCGGTTTCTAAAAAAAAAAACCCCAACAGACTATAAAAAACAGAATCTTATTGCCACAGATACTAGCAGAAAATATATTTCAGAGACAAATTCATGATTATGTATGGAAACAAAGTTGTACGTTTGTATGGGCACGTATTTCCTTGTAAGTACTTAGTATACTTTTCTGATCCAAGACTACAACTCAGAAAAAATTCTGAGGAAAAGTAAATTTGTTGAAAAAAAAGATTTTGGGGGTGACAAATATTTTTAATTTAAGATAAACTTTGGTGATTGCTTTCAGCCAAAAACTAAGGGAGAAATATCAGACATTTGTAATATATCATTTCAACTTTTTTGATGAAATGTTGTTTTGGAAAATGCCAAAAAGTTTATTTTGGCATTTTGTTTATTTTGATGTTTTCAAAATTAAACTTTTTTCCTTTTATTTCAAAGGGGCATATGTCATTTAAAAATTGACCTAAGTTAAAAAAAAAGAGTGGGGAGGGACGGTTAAATTGTCCCAGGTCTAATAAAAATTAAAGTTATCTTTAATTGAAAACTAGACTTGGATCTCTGTCCCAGTCCTAAAACAGGCATTTATTTCTGGGAATCTTTCCAGGAGAGGGAGCAGTACAGCTGTTCAGCCTGCAACTGCTCCCTGGCTCTCTCTCTCCACACCTTCCCCAGACCAGGGATCAGAAAGTGGTTACTCCGTTCCTCCCAGTTCTAGTGTGGGGGGCAGGAGGGACTGGAGTAGTGGAGCAAAACCCCTGCCCACCTTCCCACTTTCCGTACTGGGTATCCCCAGTTTGGAGAACCAGTGGGGGTGGCTTCTGTATCACAGGCAAGACAGCTGGGCTATGAGGAGGAAGCTCTTAAAGTGTTCAAAGCTTGTGTTTAAAGACAGTGCTTGAAGTCCTTGGGAATGCAATGGAAGGAGCACTGGGGCAAAGCCCCTAGCCCGTTTTCCAGACCAGGGACAGCCTGGTTAGGAGAAGTGTCTGGAAGCATCGTCCTGCTTCTCTCCCCCCGCCATTCGCTCCCAAAGCAGACTAATAGGGGAGTTTACAAGTGTTCTTTTTTGCCAGAGATTTTCTGTTGCAGGGGAGATCTTTCAAGTATCAACGTGGAAGATTTTTCTCTGGAGTGAATATGTTTCTTTTAGAAGTAATTGAGTGCACTCCTGGTTTCTACTGGGAAAGCAGTGATTCTCCTAATGTCTCTAATAGAAACATTATGCATGGAGATGGGCACTGAAAGTAAAGAAGAGAAAATAAAGTGACCAAGAATATTTTCATTGTTAGTTTCTAGGAAGAAGGACACTTCTTTTCAACTTTTGGAAGTATCAGAATGGTGCATGTCTTAGCCTATAAATGTGCAAAAGTACATTTTTTTTAGATAGCATAAATAAAGATCAGAGAGGGACGTGTCATATTCTACATAATATGTGGCAGATTTGATAACACAGCCGTGTACTGTGACTAGACTGCAATATTGAGCTACTAATGCTTTGAGTACTTTAACAGACTTTGGTCAAATGGGTAGAAATCTAACAGCAGTGGAATTATGCATAATTATGTAATATGCATAACTACATACATTTGTTAAGACTGTATCAGCTTTGCCAATATTCAGAGAGGGTTTGGGTTGCATTTATGAATAATAATTTGAAACGGTGTCAGTTCTTTAATTTAATCATCTCTTTCTATTTTAAATCCTAACAGTTTAGCAGCACAAGAGTAAGAATGTCGTGTTTGAGGAAGAACAATAAAGCCTTAAGGAAAATCCACAACCAGAATGTTATTTAAAACAAATGTTAGATGACATATTAGTTTTTAAATTGCTTTTGTGACTTTACAATGAGCCTCTTGATATTTGGTGTTTTTCTTAAAGATCTAGGTACAAGAATCTTGATACTGCTGAGAAAAATCTGCTTTCTTAAAAAAAAAAAAAAAAAAGAAAGTGTTTCTAGCACTCATTTATAATAGAAAGCCTGAAAATACAATTCGCAGTTTTGGGAAAGCTCAGGATCCAGATAGTAACAAAAATTAAAAATACAACTTCTATTATTTACTAGAATTTTCTATTTTTTACAAAAGTTTATTGACTTTCAAAGGCCTGATTCATAGTTCCTGAAAGTTTGGGATCCACAATCCTGTTTTTTATTTAAACGTGATAACAATCTATAAGTGTTTATAACATTTAAAAAAAAATGTGGACTATAATGCAATCATTATTGGTAGACTACTTTTTGGCAATAACATCTTTGCCCACTTATAGGTTTGTGTTCACAAGGATGGCTTGCATTCAAAGGCAGTTGCTATAAAGTAAGCAGAGAAAGCAAACCATGGGGTATGGCACAACAAATCTGTGAATTATCTGCACTGGGGGCACATCTTGTTGACATAAAGACTGAAGAAGAAAATGCATTTATATCTTCTTACCTTCAGAGATTCAATAAAGTAATCATTCTGTGGACAGGACTTAATGACATGAAGGTCAGTATAGTTGATCTTTACTTGTATTTTCCTTATTAAAGTAGGTTTTTTGGCATCAGGAGAACTTTAAAACTTACTGTTCTTTTTGGCAAAACCATTCACATTGGTCATTTCCCTGGTCATTTGAATCACTACAAAATGTAGACATCACACCGTAGCAATACTATGTTGTGATACAAACCCAGCATTATTAGCACCAAAAAGAAGTCTCTTGTGGTTTCAAATGTCTTGAAAGCTTTTTTCCCCTCAGTTGGCAGAGTTACAAGATTAAAGCATATCCTGTTTTTTTTTTCAGAATGTCTGTCTACTCAGCATAATTTCCAGAAATTATGTATAACTTTATCAGCAATACTGACTTATGAGTAGATGATTGTCATTAACTTATTTTTATTATGACGTACCACACTGTTAAAATTGCTTTCTAGCTATTACTATGATTAGAGTTGTGTTCATAATCGATTTTGTTTTTTGGTCTGCTGCTGAAACAAAAAATGGTTCAATCTAACCAAAATGAATTTTATTTTTTGTTGCTTTTATTTCAGTGAGAAGGAAAAAAAATAACCCAAATCCAAACTTTTTGTTACATTTTGGACATCTTTAACAACATTGCCTTTCTCTTAAATCTACTTCTGCAGTGGTCAATGTACGTGTTCAAGATGTGGAAAGCACAGATTCTGTTTATTCTCTGTTTTTCAGCTGCTGGACGGCATTTAGCCTAAGCTTTATCATGAGTGTCCTAACCAATATGCTGCAAAGCATGGGTGTCAAACTCATTGGCTCTCCCATCCCTGGGGCCATATCTGGACCCCTGAAGCTCTTTGCAGACCATATCCAGACCCACCTCTGGTGGCCAGCTGAGCCATACCACGGGTTCCACAGGGGTTAGTACAGATGTTGCTTGCCCCACTGCAGTGCATCACCAATTGGGCTATGTACCCCAGAATTCACCAGCCGGCCCACTCTCCAATTCCTGGTTCTTCCAGGAGCCTTGTGGGCTAGAAGAAACAACTGCATGTTGGATACCTTTGCTGTAAAGCATTTGGGCAAGGGTTGGTTTCAATCTCTCGTGCTGTTTTGTGGACATATTGACATGCCTGCTCTGGCTCAGTGAATGTTTAATTATATGCAAAATGGTATATCATCAACAGGAGAAATTGAGAACATCCCTACCCCAGAAATTCCTATATTTTGCTCCATAGGGCTCTTTACTGGGATGGAGGAGATGGTTTAAATTGTTCTTCACAAAAAGGAGAAAATGAAGCCCAGGTCTCCCATATCCTGGATGAACATCCTAATTGCCATGCTGCTGGGCAAAATGGAGTGACAGCTCTTCCTTCTCCCATTTTGTGAATCTAACACTGAATTTTTTTCAGCCAGTTATGCTGTGTTTTCAACAAAAATTCAGATATAGTTTTAGGCTGACCAAGACCACTTTTTTCCTCACTGATTGCACTGTGAACTGAATCCCTCCAGCTCTAACAAATGTTCTAACAAAGATTCTTTGAAATTATTCATCGTTTTACATTAACATCATACAAATTTACTGTAACATTCCAGCAATTCTCTGTAAATTTGGAGTGATAGCTACAATGCAAGTAAAAATGTATTTAATTCAGAATTATCCATGTAATTAATTTGCTTAAATAAGTGGAAAAAAATAATAGATGTTTCAAAGATGTCAGTAGAAAATCTGAACGGTAATAATTTAGCATTGTTGTTTAATTTGTTTAAAAATAATTTTAAATGGTTTTATTAATTAAAAATTACTTTTAAATAACTGCAATTTTTCTTGCTATAGGAAGAAGGTCACCTCGTATGGACAGATGGATCTCCTTATCTTGGAAAAGCTGACATTTCATCTTCATCAATGATACCAGAGAATGAAACTGACTGTTATACTTTTCAGCAAAATCCAACTGGTCCAAACTATTTCTTCACAGGATTTTTCTGCTTTTTATCTTTGCCATATATTTGTGAATATGAATGTAACTACATTTTTTTGGTTTTTTTGGTTTTTACACTTACCTGAAATATGTTTTTTACATAGTTAGATCTATGTAAATCTAACTTTAGATTTATGCCCCCCTGTCCAGCTAACTTTATCTGGAGGGGGCGCATAAATCTAAAATGAACCCCTGCTCCAGCACAGAACTCCCTCCTGTCCTGAAGACAGCACTGGATTTGGGAAGGCGGGGATGGGGCTAGGGTAGAGACAGACAGACAGGCATGGATCTAACATTTTAGAAAAAAGAACTTCCCATTTGTTAATGTTTCCTATTTTGGTGTTCTTTTTCAGTACCTCCTGTACCAGATAACTTCATGTTCTATGTGCAGGATATTCAGACAACGGAAGCTGTATTTGGTTGGAGTGATTTGAGGAACTGGCTCAAATCAGGATTTGAACTTATAATTAAATACTACTTTGATCATTTGGAACAACATATTCAAAGCTTGTCTCGAAATACAACACATGCCAGAGTTGATCAGTTGTCTCCTGGACGCTTCTATAGATTTTTATTATCAGCAAGTAGCCCAAGCGGGGCATACACTAACTTAAGCCCCATTCTGCTGGTAGAAACAAGTGAGTTACAAAACATGCAGGAATAATAATCATGCATTTACTCTCTTCTTTTTTTTTAAGACCCTGTAGTTTATTTCAATATGCTTTCTATATAGAGATAATCAGAATCATATCCTATATTCAAACACAGTCAGTGTCATGTGTTCAAAATCGCGTTCCCTATCCTATGCTATAATGCCTTACTCACTGGAACAGGTGGTACAAGGACTAAAAATTTTACATTGTACACAAATAGAAAAAAGGCAGGCAAGTAAAAAACTTGGAATACGGTCAGCTGGCAGAATGATTACAAAGACAGTCAGGATTAAATGAAATGGCATGTGTTCTAATTCCAAAGTACAAGATTTGTTTTGGAAATAAAGCCATGCCCATATTGATACAAGAAAGGCAAAGATAGATTTTCATTGTTTGAATTACACTATGGATTTTTGACCCAATACACCAAACCAGTGGAGTATAGAGAAATTTATAGTTCATTTATTGTTGTCCTACCAAAAATCTAGCTGAACACACTAGTGAACACAAATGGGTCCTGCCAGTGGATAAAGGTGAATAATTCCCTTGAATCAAAAGATGAATCAAAGTGAAATATCATCAAGGAAAAATTAGTCCACAGACACAAGCATCATTTAAAAAAAGACTCAGTCTACCAAGACTGATAACTCAGAAAGAGGAATGTGTTTTGCAACTCACCTTCGATCCAGATTCAATCAGTTCATATCTTGATTTTTCAAGTATTATAGGCAACAATACTATAAAATATTAATATTGTATTTTTAATTACAAATCAATTTAGATTCTGATTCATGTTAAGTTCAGTACCTTTTCAATAATCAGTGCTTTAGCTGTAAACATTAAATATAAGAAACAAATTTGATTAAGTGGTTCGAAGAAGAGAGTGCCATTATATTAAGAATTATCTGCTGTGGTCTGATGTTCAAAACTGATTTCGGGGACAAACTTTCCAAGTTCTTGCCTCTGTGATATTGAGCAAAACTAAAAAAATAGATATAGCTATTAACAGTTCTAACAAGTGCTGTCAATAAATACATTCTAGTCTAGTGTTTAAGGAAAGTTAGGTCATATGAGCCAATTAAATATCATTGATTAATATTTTTACTACAACAGGTCAAGTCCTGGCTTCAAAGAATTCAGCCCAAGTTTTACCATTGATATCCAGGTCCAGGATTTTACTCAGTTTTTCTACATATAATCACTTAAGAAATACTGTTGTGTAGCTGTTTCTTTTTACCTTTTGTATTTGTGATTTTGTCATTTAATATGTTTATAAAAATAATTTTACTGTCACCATTTCTAGTGATACTTTTAAATAAGAAGATGGTAATCAGAGATGTCAGAAGCTTATTTCTTATTTTCCCTTTCTAATTGTTTTTTGTCAGGGCCATTACATTCTCAAAATTTAGAGGCTGTCCATGTCTCATCAACAGAAATACATTTACAGTGGGATCCTCCGCAGAACTCAACCAGTGCATCTTTTCATTACTATCTTGTCACCATTTTGGATGCTGAAACAAACAAATGGGAGAAGTTAGCAGTTGAAAAAATTAACACTTCAACAATAATTGGAAACCTCAAGCCTTTTCATCAGTATTATATATACTTACAGACTGTGGCTGAAAAAGGCTCTCTCAGCTGCAATGAGAAGACAATATTAATCACAACAGGTGATTACATATTTGTAACTTTTCTTTCCTATATTGAATATAACTATTATATACTGCTGTTTGTAATTAGTACTGTACATATATGGCCCATTTGAATGCATTTTGGGAAGTTAAGACATTTTCTTTTAAGATTTCTTTTCACTCTCTCTAACATGCAGTAACTTTTCTAACAATTAGCACCTCCATTTTTATATTCTTCAGGGATCTATTTATTTACCTGTTAACTATATTGTTGTAGCTATTGTTGTTGTTGTTATTATTATTATGCATACATTTAATGACAGAAAAATAACTGAAATTCCTGTAATTGCTTTGTTTAATAGACATGATGGCAGATCAGTATTATGCCAATAGTCAGATTTTGATATATCCACTTACATTGTTTATTATTTTGTGCAAAATTCTATTTGAGTGAAAGTTTGTACTTGCAGAATAAGGGACTATTTATTGTGAACAAAGGTGGTAAAATGTTACTGTTACCTACTTTATTTTCTTCAATGACAAGCTGTCAGGCTTTGTGACTTGGATGTGTTATGTCTTGATTTTAGGGAGGCTTTCAATATGGTCTCCCATGATAACCTCATAACTAAGATAAGGAAGTACAGTCTAAATTAAACTACTGAAAAGTTGGTGTGCAACAGGATGGATTGTGGCATACAAGAAAAGGTTGGAAGAACTGGGAAAAGGAAGATTGAAGAGGGATTTGATAATACACTTCAAGTACAAATAAGATTGTAATGGAGATGGTCATTAACTGTTCTTTGTGAATATTTTGAGGAGGCTAAGAAGTCTTATATTGCTACGAGGAAAATGTAGATTAGATATTAGGAAGGTCTTTCTAACAATGAGGGTGGCTCAGCACTGGAACAGATTACCCAAACAGGTTATGAATCTTTTGTCACTGGGAGTTTTTAAGTGCATGTTAGACTAACCAGTGGCTGGGATGGATAGGACAGAAAGGATCCTGCAATGAACAGGGACTTAGACTAGCTAATCTCCTATGGTTCCTATTTTTCTATAATTCTATGAGTCTAGCTATAAAAGGGCAATGGGAACAATTTTAATATAATGCCAGTAAAAATACAGTGATATAAATGATCAATTTAATGTATGTGAGCCATACAAGAAAATGGGATGGAGACTTAACATTCAGAAGACTAATGTCCTGCATCAACAAGCTGCTAATGAACAGTCCCCAGCTCCAGTAATTCATGTCCATGGTGAGCCTCTAGAGAATGTTGAGTATTTCCTGTACCTCAGAAGCCTTCTCTCACAGAAGGCTGACTTTGAAGTAGAAATTCAGCTTTGCCTTAAATGTGCAAGTACAGCCTTTGGACACCTGAATAAAAGGGTGTTTGAAGATCATGACATCAGATCTGAAACCAAGCTCATGGTTTACCAAGTAGTTTTGATCCTTACTTTGCTGTATGGAGCTGAGATATAGACAACGTACAGGAGACACCTAAAGTTGTTGGAGAAATACCTTCAATGTTGCTTGTTGAAGTTCCTCTGAATCCAGTGGGAAGACAGACACACCAACATTAGCGTTCTCCTGAAAGCAGACCTTGAGTATTGAGGCAATGATCATCTAACATCAACTTCATTGGGCTGGCCATGGCATCTAGATGTCCGACTTTAGATTTCTGAAGCAAGTTTTATTTTCCCAGCTCAGCCAAGGTATAAGCTCGCAAGGAGGGCAGAGAAGGCACTTCCATGACATTGTCAAGGACAACTTAAAAATATGCAACATCGATATCAACTCATGGGAGACTATTGCTCAGGACTGCCCCAAATGGAGGAAGAGTCTGCTGTAGGGGCCTCAGTACTTTGAAATATTATGACAACAGGAGATGGAAGAGGTGAAGCGGAAGTGGCAGAAACAGTGTGTTATGGACCAAATCAAGAATCCAGCACTACGCACCCCACATGGAAACACATGTCTGAGCTGCACTAAAGTATGTCAATCCCAGATAGGCCTCATCAGTCATCTTCAAACACACAGATAATTCAACCATGGAACACAACCATGCTTGACTGTGAGGGATTATTGAAAAACAGAATCAACAGTACAGAGATGAGAAACGTACCAGTGCTGTGCATCCCCATGCACATTGTAGATAACCCCTCTTGTTTTCCCATATTTCTACTTCTTGCCACTCTTCAGTGTGTTACTACCTGCCTCTTCTATTCTTCCTGTATATAAAACCACTAGTAGAATAATTTAACATACAAGCTAAAGGAAAACAATTAATAAATCGTTAGCTACAGTAGCATGTACATGTTTTCAAATATAACTTAGCTTTTGATAAAACCATTGTGCAAATGGTTTTTACTGTTATGTGTATCTTGTGTTACAATGTCACAAAAAGGGTCTATATTAGGAATAACTATTTAAATAAATCAGTGTCTTATATTTATATATGATAATTCTTTTTCTTTCACTTAAGCTGTCAGTCCACCTAGCAGGGTTTTTATTCATCCTGAGGACGTGCAAGAAGACAGCATGATTCTTAACTGGGAACTACCATCAGAGGGCCAGAAATCCTACATTCAAGTGAAACCTATTATGGATGTGGATGAAACTGTAACATTTCAATTAAACAACACACAGAGCTTAAAGGTTGATCTTCTAATCCCTGGAATGACTTACGAAATAGCAGTAGCAACTGTAAATAATGGAAATATGAGTGAACTGAAGATAATTCAATGCACACTAAGTAAGATAATATTTTAGAAAAGACTAATGGATTTCTTTAATTTTGATTAGCAAAAAGATTTGGAATATGAGGTAAATTTTGCTTGGTGATCAGAAACCTCATTTGAGATATCTAATACATTTAGATACACTGGCAGAAACACAATCTCTAATATTCCATAGATGCAGAGTTATTTAAAATAATGAAAAGCAAATGCTACAGTGTTGTATCATAGTCTTCCCTGAAAGTGCGGGGACAGTGTTGAATCATGGTGAGTGGAAGAGATGGATGCATGCTAAGATATCTTACTTCTACGTTAAGAGATTGGTTATATTATACTAAGCAGCAGAGGAGATGGTTTGCACTGAGCAAATAGCTATGTTGGAGTGATGCTGACTAGCAGATACATGACACATGCACCAGTGTAACTTCCTCTGGTGTAAATTTACTTAAGATTTCCACTGAAGTAAATACATAAGGCAGCAGCATTTTTTCAGAAGTAAATGCTTTGCTTCATATACGTGCTCCATTTTCCTCTAGAGAAAATTGGAATTCGTTGCAAAATATTGTGTGTATACGTGCTTAGTCTACTGATAAACAGATGTCTTCCTAAGGAAATACAGATTTTTAGCAGCATGAAAGGAATGTGTAGGATTTGCCCTTGAAATATTGAAATATGTGTCATTGTATAGGGGGTAAAGCTGTAAAATTGAAGATGAAAACAATGTCAGCGTCACAGCTAATGTAAATTATTACACTGATTTTTTTTTTTTTTTTTTAAATCAGGAAGATTAAGTCATACGGGATATTTCTGATATAGGATACTGTTAAAAGCCTCATTCAGTGTACACACGGCAGAAAAAAGATGCTTTTCACAGCCATTAACACTGACTGTGAAGCAAGAAATAATGCAAGATTATTTGGCATCCCTTATAGAACTATATTTGCATACCTCACTTAAAATTTCTTTACATTTGCTTCAAATACTTTGTATACTTACTGCAATTATGATGGGAAGGAAACTAACCTAGCTTTTTAATATAATGCTTACATAGAGCCACATACAAGAGTTGGCTGTTGTTATTTTCTAATAATAATGCATTTTATTTGGTAGCTATCACTTTGTTACAAAGACAGATCTTGGAATAGCTATTTCAGATTTGTTTATGATTTTCATTCAGCTTATTTACAACTATTTTATATTGTTTTAAAAATGTTCTTTTTTCTTGTTTCAGAGCCTAAACCAGTTGAAATTGTTGTCCCCTATGAAGTTCATACTTATTCTGTGATTTTATTTATTAAAATGCCTGATGTTGGAATATTTGATGGTATATATGTTACAAGTAAAGGAGGGCCTAATGCAACATTTACTTTAAAGAATGATGACACAATAACTATTGAAAACTTGATCCCAGGCACAGAATATGACTTTTATGTTTCCACAATAAGTGGAAACATGTTGAGTTCTGTATATCATGTATCTGCAGTAAGAACATGTAAGTAACTTTAAGTTAATTGTTATGACTAATTCTAAATTTTAAATCTTAGAGTTTTTTTGAAGGCCATTCTCCTCTACTCTGTACAAACAGTTTCCTTGAAATGACTATTTAGGCAATTTATATTTAAATCCTAATTAACGTGTTTTTATAAAAAAGAATATGAATTTACATTCCTAAATGTGTTTAGTCTTTGTGCTCATTTACTAGATTTACTGCCAATTCTTCACAAATATTTGGTACATAATTAGGAATTAAAACAACATTAAATTGCCATTGGTCCTCTGGTTAAAAAAAAAAAACCAAAAAACAAACAAACAGCAAAAGTAGCCATTCTTTTGACATATGTATAAACAATATAATTAATATTCTCAGAGCTTTTTCTGAGTTTTGAAATATAATAGATCACTAGTACATTACAGGAATGTATAAGGGTTGATGGAATTTAGTGCTGCATCATGCTAAACAGAGAAATTACACAAGCTGATTACTTTGCAGGACTTAACACTAGAACTGGTATTGAATTCCTTTAAATGAAATTCTTTATTAAAATTACCTTTATCTAAATATTAATTTTCTAAATGTTATGTTTTAAATTTTTTTTCTGTTAAATTTAGCCACTTAATCTTTATTTTTGTCCACTATTTCCCCATCTTTTTCTTCACTGAAAAGCAGAGAAGGTAGAATAAAGTTTGAGAATGGTAGACGAAAACATGGAGGGGTGGAGGGGAAGTAGGAAACATGGAAGAAGAAAAGGGGAGAGAAAGGAGAAGGCACAAACCTTACTAAACAAATTAAATAACATTTAAAGCAATCTCTTTGTAACCAAAAATAGAAATAAATTTGTCATGAATAGATGAAAATGTTGTTCTTTCTTAAAACCTGTAGATTTAGAAAATGTGTTTTACTTTTTTGGGTTTTATTGTAAGATTTTGTTACCTACTTTTTTAAACTACTCATCCTCTTCCAGAATCCAGACTTTTGCAGTTAATTCTACTATAATATTTGTTTACACTAAGCATATATTGCTGTCAACCACAAGTTAGCCTATAGATATGAATTTCTGGTATTAATAATATTTTTTGCTGTGAAACATAATTTTTTACATGTTTCCTGAAATTATCTATTTTGTATTCCAGAACTCGTGGCTATCTTATGTGTGGGATCATTTTTGTATTCCAAGTTGAAGCAAAAACATGCCAGAGTGTTTTTGACTGAATTTTGTGTTAAGATCTAAGTAGCTACATCTTTTGACATGCAAGTCCTATGATCTTATGGTCTTAAGTATTGATTCTCCACTGTTCATTCCTCAAAAATTGGTCCTTGGGTGGTACACACTGCAGAAAAAATATGTGAAACTTTTAATTTAAAATTTTCTTAACTTTTTTTGTCATTGCTTTTGTTGCAACATGGACAACAGTGTATACTGAGGTAAGTGAATTTCCAGGGTTGAAAGGAATAATCGGCTCAGGTGTATTCTATAACAAGAGAGTAAGGAAAACTAAAGAACTCATTCACTCACAAAGTTTGCAAGGAAAATAAGGTTAGAAAATGTTAAATTAAATATTTTACATATTTTTCTGCACTGTGCAATACACATTTACTAAAAAGGGAACAAGTCTTTTAAATTTGGTGCATCTCAGTGTATCATCTTGCTAACCCTCAATAAATAGGTCATAACTGTGATACTTGCAAAGAGGGGATTAACTACATTTTAAAAGAGTACACGGGCAGATCTAAGATTTGGAAAGTGGGGTACAGATGGTACGTTATCTCATATAACATAGTACATATTTTTCTTCAGGCAAAAATAAACTAGAAGCTTTACTAATATGCTAGGGGCCTTGGGCTATATTATATTATTCAGTTTAATATCAAAGCAAAAAAGAAATATAAATTTATTGGATTGAATTAGTGAAATATAATGTTGGAATGAATTAAAGGCAGTCTGCAGGGCTGTGAAATAGGAGCTATGTTACCGGGAACAGCTAAAAGACAGCAGAATTGCAGAAGAAAGACAACCTTGGTTAGTTGCCAGGGTGTAGGGTCCTGGGTGATAGCTTGGTCCATCTGGGAGCAGTACCTCCTGGGATACTGGAGGACTGCAAATTGGTGGTTTTATCTTAGGTGAACACCCAGAAGTTAATTTAAGTCAAGCTAAGTAGTACAGCTCAAAGATAATCTTCCCCCAAAGTGGTGCAACTTTAAGGTGCTTAAAGTCCTTGTTAATGAGCTGTAATGCATGATGATTCATGCTTTGAATAATCTTAACATGATCCTGCCTGAACAGAAATGCTGCTGCCAGTGCCAGGCAGTTGATTTTAAACTTTGGGGGGAGCAGAAATCAAAATGGGGGTGCAGCTGCATTAGTGCATCCTCCTTTCCCCCCAGATTCACTTCTCCAAGAGTAGATGGCAAAAATTGCTTGGTTTGTTTGCTCAGAAATGTCATCTTTAATCCTAGAGATAAATTTGTAAGCAAATCCAGTTTGATTTTTGGACAGGCAAATTCATCATTAGCAAACCATTTATCCTTCAGCTATGAAGGAAATTAACTCCTATTTTCTTTTTTTTGGAGAAGGGTGTGTGTGTGTGTGTGTGTGTAAAAGGGATCTTAATGTTTTATGTTTTTGTAGGTCTGGCAGCTCCAACAAATGTACGTGAAGGTAATATTACTGACACTTCAATACAAATTGTTTGGGATCGTGCTGATGGAAATTTTCAGCAGTATGAAGTCACATGTACAAATTGTGCACATGCTCTAATGGTATGTTCTTAGAAAGATTAATTGCATAATATGTGTATAGTTACTGTTTCACAGACACTTTATAGCCCAGATATGATTTATCTGATTTGTAGGTACAAAAAATCACACAAGAAATGGCAGTATTTTCCAGCCTTATTCCTGGAATGCTATACAACTTCACGGTTCGAACAGAAAAAGAAGGTTTCAAAGATAGCCTTTTTGAAATAAAGGGAATAGAGACAGGTGAGGCTTTAATGTTATACTTCTGTTGCATCATTTGTTTTCTGCTGCAGTTTCCTGAAGAATTATTGGCCTAAAGCAGTCTTTAGCATTTCTCTCACTTTGTCTTTCATTGTTATCTTGGTTCTTTTTCTTTAGCTGTTTCTTTGTTTTCAACAGTATACCTATTTGGATTATACCATACAATGGTCCTGCTAATAGTACCTTATGAATTCAATTGGCAGATGGCTGATATTGCAAAATACTTGGCAACTGTTTCTCAAGTCATTAGAGAAAGCCAAAAAGCAAGACTTAAAAGTTTGCAGAATTTTTATCACTAGTATTGGATCCAGCAGAGCTATCCCACCTTTCCATTTGGACAAGTTTTAGATATTATTACCCTAATTGATTCCTGGCATGTATTGGATATAATTCTCACTGGCATCCCTTTGCAGCTACATCAGTCACACCAGGGTTTAGTTTGGTCCTGAAGATTTTCTCCATTTTCTGAATTCTTTTATGAAACATGTTAGTAATATTTTTCTTCTTCCTGAAATATTGATGTCTCATTTGACATGACATCAGTTGTTTCCCTTTTTTCCATCACAGTAGCCTTGTTCCCCTTTTATTCAGCAGCACATACATATACTTCATCACAGCCTCCTAAATTTTCTGTCACGGTCCTTCGATTTTAAGCACACTTTCTGTTGCCTGGTAGTCTGCCGCCATCTTATCCCTATTTACACAACTAAATGAAATTTTCTCATGGCTACCCTTTTCCTACTTACAAATACAGTCCTTCTCTTGAACCTGGGTGTGATTTCATCTATGTCGAAACGTTCTGAGTCCCACATGTGCTCATAACTTGCTTAGGGTGAGATTACACATTAGTATTAGCAAGTGCAAATTCTAAGGAACATTAGTCTGTGTTAAGGTTAAGTAGTGCTAGTGGTCAGTCGCACATTCAGTGTTAGTACTGTCTCTAATGTGCACTAGAGAATGGTGACCAGGGGTGTGGCTATGGCTTTTAAGTTTGCTCCATGCCTACCCTTCTCACTGGCTCTCTAACCACAGTCTAGGCAAGGGAGGAGGGGCAGGGGGCAAATCTCCCCATCAGCCCTCATATCCCTCTCCACCCTGTGCTGGGTCCCTCCACACCAGGATACCTGCCCTGTCACCCCAATCAGCCCAAGAGCAGCAGCAGTGGCAGCAGCAGAAGGTATCCAGCAAAAGGAGCCCAAGAGCCTTTTCCTGCCTGTTCTTGGGCTCCCTGCAATCTGTGCTACCTCTGCCCACCCAGATCCAGACCCCCCAGCTGCCAGGCAGTTCTTTGTCTCCACCCCTGCACCTTCCCCATGCATCCCCTTCAGTTTCATGGCCTGGTGCATTCTGGGTTTGGGTGTGTATGTTATGCAGGGTTGGCATGGTCTGCAGGGACCCCAGAAGCAGACAGGGGGAGGGACCTCCCGCCACCATCACCTCTGGCACTCTTGGGGTGATCAGTGTGACAGGGCAGTGATCTGGGGGCAGAGGGGTGATTGGTGTGGCATGGAAGCAATCTAGGGGTATAGGGGGCAGTTTGGAGGTTGGGGGGCAGAAGGGACACCAGTTCAGAAACTCCCTCCCTGCCAACTCTTCCCTTTCCCCTGCTCCCTCCCTTTTCCAGCTTCCTACCCTGACCCTCCCTAACCTTTCCCCATGCCTTCTCCTCCCTGGCTCCCCAACCCCCCTTCTCCCCTTTGCCCTCCCTGTCCACTCACCGCTCCCCATTCACCCCATCCCACCTTCCTGTTGAGTGGCTGTTTCCAGCTGTCAGTCCAGGGTGTAGGGTCCTGGACTGCTTGGTCCATGTGGGAGCAGTGCCTCCTGGGATACTGAAGGACTGCAAATTGGTGGTTTTATCTTAGGTGAACACCCAGAAATTTACTTAAGTCAAGCTTAGTACAGCTCAAAGATAATCTTCCCCCAAAGTGGTGCAACTTTAAGATGCTTGAAGTCCTTGTTAATGAGCTGTAATGCATGATGATTCATGTTTTGAGTAATCATGACATGATCTAATTGTAATGTATAATCTCATCCTTAGCCTACTTCTCTATGATGTCACTGATATCTGTAGCCCATTCAAGCATTGCATTAATGCAGACAGAAGTGCAGCTGCCAGCTATAACTCAGAACATTTTCTGCAAAGCATTCTAAATTTACAACGTTACCCCAGACCAAACAAGTCCACTGTTGACTCGGTGGGGAGGAGGGAGGAAATCTAGCTGTGGGCTGGGAGCCTGCAGCCAGGTTATCATAGCAATGGCCACAGCTCTCTGATGGTGCTCACTGCTTTCAGAATGGGAGCGGGGAAAGGTAGTGGAGGGAGCTTTGTTGAAGCTCCCCAGCTGATGCTAAAGGATGGGGTGGGTGAATTGGAGTCCCCCGCCACCTCAGAGTGGCTCCAATACACTTGCCCTACCCTCTGGCAGCAGGGGCGGGGGTTGGGGCAGGGCTGAAAAACTCCCAGACTGAACTCCCTCCACTCCTTTTCCCTCCTCCCATTCTGAAAACAGTCACAGGCTGGAAGCTCCACAGACACAAGTTACAGAAGACACTACATTTTGAAATGTCTTTATCTCATGCAGGGAAGGTCAGATTTTCACCCAGTCAGCCATTTTTAACCTGTTTGCAGCTGTGCATTTGTGTTTGGTCACAGCTATAGACTACTTTCTGTGGCCAGATCAGGTGAAAATTTTTTATTTCTGTCTAAGTGACTGCTATAGCCTGCCACTTTCTGCCACTATTTCCAGTTAATGATTTTGTTTCAGAGTTCATCAGTATGCTGTTGCTTTTTCCTGAAATGTTGTCATATTCCATATGGTCAGCTAGAAGTAGGAGCTTGGTTATGACTTTAAGACTCTGGGCTAAATCCTGTTTCATCTTCACACACCTAAGGGGCACTTTGCATATATAATTGCAGTATTTGCACTTATGCAGGGCTTGTAATTCAGCCTGGCTGCATGCATACTGCACTTCCTTTCTGAATATGTTTAGTAGGCTGTCCAATGGCTGTGTGAAATCACGGTGGAACAGAATCACCAAGGCACATATGTAATGTTAGGTAAGTCTTAAACTTTAGTTGTAGAAACAGCACAGATACCAGATATGTACTGGAAGAGTAATATACCACAGGAGGTCCTGACAATCTCCACCCCAGAGTGCTGAGGGAATGGCAGAGGTCATTGCAGGACCCCTGGCACAGCTTGACGAGCACTCGTGGTGCTCTGGCATGGTGCCAGAGGATTGGAAAAGGGCCAATGTGGTCCCCATTTTCAAAAGGAGGAAAGAGGACCCAGGAAACTCTAGGGCCGTTAGTCTCACTTCGTTCCTGGGAAAGCTCTCTGAGAAAATTATCCAGGAGCACATCTGCAAGGGACCAGCAGGGGAGATTATGCTTAGGGCAATCAACTTGGGTTCATTAGAGGCAAGTCTTGTCAGACCAACCTGATTGCTTTCTACGACCAAGTCACACAATCCTTGGATTCAAGTGTCGCGGTGGACGTAGTCTTTCTGGACTTCAGGAAGGCCTTCAACACTGTCTCTCACCCCATCCTCATTAAAAAATTAGGCGACTGTGGTGTCGACACCTACACAGTCAGATGGGTTGCAAACTGGTTGGAGGGCCGCACCCAGAGTGGTGGTAGACGGGTCATTTTTTACCTGGAGGGATGTGGGCAGTGGGGTTCCCCAGGGCTTGGTCCTCAGGCCCACACTGTTCAACATCTTCATTAGCGACTTGGACAAGGGGGTGAGAAGCACCTTGTTCAAATTCACGGATGACACCAAGATGTGGAAAGAAGTGGGCACGCTAGAGGGGAGGGACAGGCTACAACTAGATCTGGGCAGGTTACAGAGGTGGGCGGATGAGAATAGGATGGGTTTCAATACTGACAAGTGCAAGGTACTGAACCTGGGGAGGAACCAACAGCATACCTACAGGCTGGGGATCTCCCTTCTCTTCAGCACAGAGGCAGGGAAGGATCTTGGAGTCACTATTGATTCCAAGATGAACGTGGTCTGCCAATGTGGGGACGCGGTCAGGAAGGCTAACTGCACTTTGTCATGCATCCATAGATGCATCACAAGCAGGTCCAAGGAGGTGATCCTCCCCCTCTATGCGACATTGATCAGGCTGCAGTTGGAGTACTGTGCCCAGTTCTGGGTGCCACACTTCAGGAGGGATATGGACAGCATCAAGAGGGTCCAGAGGAGGGCCACTCTCATGATCCAGGGGCAGCAGGGCAGACCCTATGAGGAGAGGCTACGGGACCTGAACCTGTTCAGCCTCCTAAAGAGAAGGCTGAGAGGGGATCTGGTGGCTGTCTGTAAACTTGCCAAAGGGGACCAGCAGGCAATGGGAGAGTCCTTTTCCCTGAGCACTACTGGGAGTAACAAAGAATAACAGCCTTAAGCTGACTGAGAGTAGATTCAGGCTAGACATCAGGAGGCACTACTTCACAGTCAGGGTGGCTAGGAGCTGGAACCAACTCCCAAGAGAAGTGGTGTGTGCTCCTACCCTGGGGGGTCTTCAAAAGGAGGCTATATAGACACCTAGCCGGGGTCGTTTGACCCCAGCATTCTTTCCTGCCCATGACAGGGGGCCGGACTTGATCTGGTTAGGTCCCTTCCAATCCTACCTACTATGAAACTATGACCCTCCCACGTTTTAAGCTGGTAGCCTTGTAGTTAAAGCATGGTCATGCACCTCCTGCTTCTTGGCAAAGTGCTCTAACCACTAGACTGCAGACTAGGTATTACTAGAACACACTCCATCTCTCCTCCTGCTG